CACACACACACACACACTTTCATTGGTCTGGCTTGGCACAATGTAAGTATGCATGTGATCTACCTGGCAGGACCATGGGGATCATAGAAAAACTGTGATATCACTGCTCCTCATCTGATTGGAGAATGCCTTTTATTCATTGATAAACATAGCAGGCATTTTCTGAATGACTGCTGTGCAGAGCAAGCTGCCCTCTGTGTTTTCAGAGTAGCTGGCAAGTCACTTAGCTCAGTTGCTGTACAGGACCCAGTGGATCACTGTAAAGTTCTGTGGCAGCTTAGTGCAAAACCTCGGCATGGTTCTGTGTTGTGATAAAATAACCCCCGTGCGCATGAATATAAGATCCATCATCCCTGCCGAACTCCCGTGCGCTTGCATATAAGATCCATCATCCCTGCCGAACCTAGAAGAAGATGAAAACACCAGCAGCAATGAGGAGCGCTGACATCCACGTGATGGATGGGATCTCTTGACAGGTAAGTCTGCCATAATCGGCTAATATGCTGTGCATACTATTGCATCAAACAACTCCCGGGGCTCAACAATTTTCTTTTGTGGTGGCGGTTAACTTCTGCTTTAGGCCCCGTTCATATCAGATCTGTTGAGATCCATTTTTTCAACGGATGCTAACGCAAGGGCATCGAAAAATGAATGGTTGTGAATGGGACCAGTTTACACTGCTGTGATCTGTTCCGTTTAGTTGCAGTGCGATGAATAATCCCAAAAAAAAAAGTAGAGCATGCTCTACTTTTTTTTCAGCGCAAAGTAACGTAACAGAACAAAATGAATGTAATTGCAAAGGAACGGAAGTAGAAAGGGGGAAAAAAATACCTAGATGTTTGTCCACTGAGGGAAAAAAATGGAATGGAAGTCAATAGAGGTTGAAACTTTGTCAACGGACCCTCTGTTGATGTGTGATTTCCTTCCGATTTTGGTGTGAATGGGCTCTTAAAGCTGAAGTTTAGATTGTTATACAGCCCCAGGGGCATAACTTGCCACCAATGAGGTGTGTCCCATGTTGGCTGCTGCTATTGTAGAAATCCTATCACGAGAGGCTGCCAGATACACAGTGCCAATGTGATAGTCTGCAAAAGCTGTGCAAAAGTTGTCCGCCCTATCCTCTTCTCTCCTCCATTCATAGAAGTTGTACTAGTATTTATCACAGTGCGACGTGACCTGTGATTGGAGGACAGACAGGTGACTAAAAGGCTCCACCTTTTTCTGTCATCTCAATGGGCCGCTCTGCTTGCGGCAAACAAGCTCATGCACCTTTTTCAGCTTCAAGCTTTGCACATTTTTTTACTTTTGCAATGGTCATAATTATTTTTTTCCAGAAGATACCAATATGGTAGCAGGTCTCTTTCTTTTGGAGTTCAGGTCTAAATTAACTGTATCCTTCTTATGATCCTGGTACCTGGCTGCTATAAATTTTTAATTTTTAACTCTCTTGGCTTTCCTAGCAGCTAAGGATTCTTTGACACATAGTTGGAGTGAAATCGGGCACTCTAAACAGTCAAGTATTTGTTCAGATATTGTAATTTTCCATTGAGAATCAGTAAGGATAACACAAGCATCTGGTACAGCTTTGTCCATTTCAGTGGCCAGTAAAATACATACAAGCTAATTTTTAAAGTTCATCACCCTTACTGCAATTTTCCCAGCCTACACAAAAACTGTACTGAAAGGGAGGGTCTCTACCATTGCCATCCATGCACTGATATGCACTGTGTGAACTTACAGACTGTACCATGAATAACTGGAATATTTGCAGCCCAGCCTCATACCGTATGTGACTTTCAGCACTCCTGGCCTCTAGAACACATTGGGAGCAATTCAGTAAAGCATTTGCAACAATTTTCTGACGGTGCCGACGCATTAGAAAGTCCTGCGTCTATTTCAGGAAAAGACAAGACACAGAGAGCGCCTCCATCGCATAAAAACTTTTTAATAAACGAATAAAAAAATGGTATAAAGGTACAGACATTCCTCGGTTACCGACTTACCTGCTTTGCGACCACTTGTACTTACGACGGACCGCCGAGCGACCTCCGACCTCGCGTGTCAGCGTCAGTGCGACGTGTCGCAGGTGGAAGTGACCTCCTCCGATCTTCACTGCAGGTCCTGGTAAGTATTTTAATTGCCCGATGTACAGTACACTGTTCGGTACTGTACATCTGCAACGCTATACAGTACTGTACTAATGCAGTACAGTACTGTATAGAGTTCCTCACTTAACGACCAATTCGTTTAACGACCTGGTCGTAGGAACAGAACTCGGTCGTTAAGTGAGGAATACCTGTACTCACAAAGGACGAATAAAAACGGGCATAAAAGGGTCAGAACAAAAGGTGCATATCCACCGGCTGTTCGTCTTCCCTGGTAGTGAAGTGGTTTACGCGTTTCAGAAGTCACGCCTCCTTCCTCAGAACCAATTGGGAGTGGTTCTGAGGAAGGAGGCGTGACCTCTGAAACGCGTTAACCACCATTTTTTAAATTCTTTTATTAAAAAGTTTTTATGCGATTGGGGCGCTCTCTGTGTCTTGTCTTGCAGTGCTGAGGTTGTTCTGAACCTGGTGAGAGCCGCCCCGTTATCGCCCTCCACTCCTGAACATCATTGATTTAATACTCTCTTGAACCAAAATCTGCTGGCGCGGTGTTTGATTCTGTCTGCTATTTCAGGAAAACCTTGCAACAGTTCCATCACATGTGACCGATTTCAGGTGGTTCTTATTTGCACCACTTTCACTGGACAGAATAGCATGTTTTTGGCCCCATAGACTTTAATGGGAGTGCATGAAAAACGCATGTTGTTTGTAGGGCTGCAGCTAACTATTTTTTTCATAATCGATTAGTTAGTTGATTATTAGGTGATTAATTGGATTTAAAGATAAAATGGCTCCGGTGATGTACTACTAATTTGTATTGAGATTGTAGTCCATCACAGGAGCAAGCTTGGATCGGTGACTACTTTACAACACACACACAGGGACCATGGGGAACAAAAATAGCCACCCTCCAGGAGGCAGAACAGTATCGGCACCAATTCATAGATGATTGGAGGATCTACAGCCGATTGATACATACATAAGGCACAATGTACATCAGCTATAGAGGAATGCAAATACCAGCAATACATCATACAGTGCAATGCAGAATACCACCAGATATAGAGGAATACAAATCCCAGCAATACATTATACAGCGCAATGTACCATGTGGGGGAAAGTGCAAGCAGTGAGAGCTGGTGGGGGGACATTTCAAAGGGGAGAGGGGGAAACATCTCTACCACGGACATGTTATTTCCTCTCTGCAGTCTCTGGCTGCCCTTCCCCCCCTCGTGTACAAACAGTATACAGTGAGCCCCTGATGAGATGAGCTGACCCCTCCTCTCGTGTTCGCTTCATCTCCCTGTAGTTCCCCGACATCTTACCTAAGCAGTCTCCAAGCAACTTTCTTCCCTGAGCTCTTGGTGTGGGTGTGTCTCTCGGTGGCTGCTGTTCCCCCAGGCTTGCTGCTGGGTGAGGCGGGGAGGAGAAGCGGCGCGCGTGGAGCCGCGAGTAGAGCAAATGCCAATCGAATGCCAACTAATCAATGATAGTAAATGTTGACAACGTTTTCCATCACCGATTATGACCGACTTAGCCGATTAGTGGTTGCAGCCTTAGTTTTGTGTGATTTTTGCACCTAACAATTGCCTCCTCCTAGTAACTAGCTTTCCATTGGCTAATACAAAAATTCACAAGCCATAACATTCCTGAAACATACCCAACAAAAATGCTTCAGAATTGCTTGAATGCACTTGTGCTCAAGTGTGAATGGGGCCTAATCTGGGGGGCACAAAGGGTCAGAGTCTGGCAAGATGTATGTGCCACATGGAATAATAACGATGAGCAGAAGTTCCACTTATTTACAATCATTCACTGTGGAAAGTGAATGTACATTTTGCATAGTAAACATTCACTTTGCTAAGAAAACAGTCTCTAATTTGTTTGTAAATCAATCTCATTGCGTCCCAGTTTTTAAATGAAACACCTCATGTGCCTAGCCACTTACGGGCAAACTGTGTGCCATAGTGACGCCACATGGCTGAAAAGAATCCTCATTAGACTAGTTTTAAAGCTCTATAAATTGAGCCTATGGTGTGTGAATGATGTTCCATTTTGAGAACATAGGTTAGGCCTTACCCACAATCATCATGGTGGAGGAATATGTACAATTGTGTGATGCACCTTGCCAACAGGCAAATGTTGCAAAAGTGTGGTGCGCTGGCAAAACTGATACATGCACCTTTTTGTTATACTGACATCACTCACAGAAATCTTGACACACACCACATATAGTTAAATTGTGTTTTGAAGTATGACATTTGACAAGCGGCCCCCAAGGCAATATAAACTTTGCCCAGTGATCCCCAAGTGAATTGAGTTTGAGGCCCCTGCCGTATATGATCTACAGTACTTGTACGCTTTCACTGTCTTGTTTACCATTTAACATATGTAGCATTAATGATCCTTTTGCCAGACGTATTTGGTGGTTGAGTGTTTAATGTAAAAGGTAGTGCAGAACCAAGCCCAAATATTCATGTTTATTTTTTTTCTCCTTCTTTCCTCAGCTTTCCCATGGTTTGGCATGGACATTGGTGGCACACTAGTGAAGCTAGCCTATTTTGAACCCATTGACATTACAGCTGAAGAAGAGCAAGAGGAAGTGGAAAGCTTGAAGAGTATACGTAAATATCTGACTTCCAATATAGCCTATGGCTCCACTGGCATACGGGATGTTCACTTGGAGTTGAAGGACTTGACACTGTTTGGTAGAAGGGGAAATCTGCACTTTATCCGTTTTCCGACCCATGACCTACCAACATTTATTCAAATGGCACGGGATAAAAACTTCTCAACTCTCCATACTGTTCTGTGTGCCACAGGAGGCGGGGCTTATAAATTTGAGGAAGAATTCCGTACAGTATGTATCTTTTGAATCAATTTTTAATCCTCCATTCCTTTTTTTTTTTCTCTAAATGTGTTTTTTTTTTACTTCCTAATGGTTATATTTATACTTCCTCTGCCTTTTAAAGTAGATGTAAAGTCAACATTTGTATTTTCAGAATTTTTTTCTGCTTTTATTATAATAATGCTTTGTGATTTTGCAATTATTGTCCGTGTTCAGACACATGTGCAGGTTCTCACTGCCATATTGTGATGGCGGTGATTAGAAGCTGCGCATGCATGGTAACAGAAAGTCCTGAGAGTTTAAAATTTGTCACAGGGCTAATGGATGCTGATATTAGGGAGACGTGTGGCTGCTTCCTTTTAATCACCATATCAGCAACCCACTTGTTTCAGCACACCCTAAAGATGGCCATACACATGCCGATTATCGTACGATAACCGCGGGAAATCCCGCGATCGTACGCCAGCCGAAAATCGTATGATTTTCAGGGGGTTTGCGGCGTGCTCGTAAGACAAATGCCGCACGGGCCGCTCAGCATTGCAGTTATCGGAAGCCCTCAGCGGGGCGGGCTCGGGGTGATCGCAAGTACGATCTGCCTGTACAAGATGGGCAGATCGTACAAGCTTTTAATTACATTACAACCATCGCAAGACGAAAGTCGTGCGATAGTTGTAAAGTGTATGGCCAGCTTAACTCCTTGCCTGTCACAACACGCCCACTCTCACACTATTGCATCTGCATGATTACCCCACTCTTACTAATTAACCTGTAGGCCTGCCTTCCCCCCACTTCTCATTCTTACCAGCACACCTGCATCAACCCTGCACTCGCCTCCATGCCTGCATCCCCCCCACACCTGCATGCACACTGCCCACAATCTCATCTCTGATTTTTGCAGCTACCTACTGATATGTGGAGGATAGTAGCAGATTTCATGGTACACACACTGCTAGTTCAACATGCTAAGGACCAGGAGAGGCAACAGAACAAGTTCCCCATTTTGTTATTCCAAACGAGAAACAGACACTAGTGATGATAATTTAACTTGAAGGCGAAAGGAGGAAACTGGGACATTGCAAAACACAGCAGGAGATGGATGTCCTTGCTAAGGGGTTGAATTTTGTAATCACACCGAAACCATCCCAGTGGTAGATATCATACAGCTACAGCTACAAACAGACAAAGCCATTGATTGGGTTTTATATCATCGCCTCTACTGTTGCAAAGATCCTTATGTATGTATGGACTTCCTAAGATACATGGATGGGACCTCTCTTTGGCTAAGTATTTTGCCACATTATAGGTCAGAGAGTTGATGCTGCTGACAATTGGCCTGAGTCTTAGCCCCCTTTGTTGGAAATACACAGCAACGCATACAGAGCTCCAAGCAATTTACAACCAAAATCCAGAGCTTGATATTGGGGACAGATGAAACAATAGTATCCTATGATGTTACATCCCTCTTCACCTGCATACCCACCACAGAGCCAATTGAAATGGTGAGAAAATTGTTGCTACTAGACAACACCCTAAGCAGCAGAACAGATCGCGTGTGTGTACACTTTATTGGACCTTTGCCCGTGTACCACCTAGTACAAGGATAAGTTCTACAGGCAAAAACATGGCTGTGCCACTTTCAACTATTGTGGCAAACCTGTACATGGAGGAAGTAGAAAAGAAGGCCCTAACCATCTTCAAGGGAATTGCACCCAGTCATTACTTCAGATATGTAGATTACACTTAAGTTAAAATTCACAAACAAGTTATAGGCTTTCATTGACCATATCAATTCAATGGATCATAGCGTCACGATTTACGTGGGAAGATATGCAAAACACACTGGTTTTCTTGGGCTGCTAAAAGATTTGGTATTGGGTTGGGGGGCTGGAAATGGAGATCTACGGGAAACCAACTTGGACCAGTACTTGCTATTTGACTCCCACCATCCTCTAGATTACAAATTGGGGGGAGTCGGGACCCTACCCCACCGAGCACAGAGGCCAAGGCAAAATAATTCCTTAGAGGGGCCCTTTAAAACCTCCCAGGTATCCACACTAGGCCTTTGTCAAAACAGAAAGGAGAGGAAAGAACAACTAGTAGTGAGGGTGAAAAGCATGACAAACAAGAATATGGTCATCCCATATGTAGCTGAGGTGTCTTGGGAACTCCGAAGGTTTTTTAATAAACATCACATCCCTGTCTGCTTTAAACCCAGCAATACACTGAGGCAGCAGATGGTTCACCCAAAAGACCCAACGCCAAAACATAAGATGAACAGCATTGTGTATGCAGTCCAGTGCAGTGAGGAGTGCTCAAAATTGTATGTCGGTGAAACAAAACAGCAGCTACACCAGCGTATGGCACAGCATAGAAGAACTAAGCCCTGTGTACCTACATCTAAAGGAAAAAGGTTACTCCTTTGAAGAAAGTAAAGTACGCATCCTAGACAAGGAGGAGGACTAGTTCAAAAAAGGTGTAAAAGAGTCCATTTATGTTGAATCTATTGTCTTCCACATACATAATATTTTTAATACTTCTCCCTGGGTGGCTTAATAACACCTTCTAGCTCCAGTCCTGCAAAAGCAATAAATACCATACTCCCATGTTATCTCTGACCCCATGTCGGTTATGATAAACCGATTATGTTGATTGGAGCATTATTCACCATATTTATTCCCAGATAATTTTTGTACAAGTCATTCTGAATTGAGAAAGCTGATCTGATGACCAGCAAAACATCAAGAAAAATACAGCAAATCCAGTTGTGTTGTTTTTTTTTTTTTTTTTTATTATTTATATTTACAGGTATATCAACAAATGAATGTCCTTACATATCCCAACCAAACCCTGTTCCCAAGGGCCCAGCACTCTCCTTTGTGCTATTGCATGTTCTGTACCGACAATGGCATTATTATCTTTGTTATGTGATATTAAACCGAGACAAGCTATTATTCATTTATTGGTGTTTTTGATTTTTTAATATACTACAATGGCATATTTATACTTCACATTAATTTATCTATATTTCATAACCAAATTATTATTACAATGTACATCACTTGTCAATTTTTTTCAGATTGGAAATCTTCAGCTGCATAAGGTGGACGAACTAGATTCCCTTGTTAAAGGTTTGCTGTTTATAGACTCTGTCAGTTTTAATGGACAAGCTGAATGCTATTTTTTTGAAAATGCTTCACATCCTGAACAGTGCCAGAAGATCCCATTCAATCTGGATGACCCCTACCCTTTACTAGTTGTAAACATTGGCTCTGGAGTTAGTATTCTTGCAGTCCATTCAAGGGACAACTATAAGAGAGTCTGTGGAACAAGGTAATCAACTTTATACTTTAAACGTAAGGCGTGGAAGGAAACAGAATGTGGAGCAGTTGCCCATGGCAGCCAATCGGTTTTCATTTTCAAAGCTTAACTTTAATAAACTGAAGGTAGAAGCTGATTTGTTTCTATGCACAACTGCTCCAGATTTGGTCTGCTCCATTTTTAATAAATCCCCCCCCTTGTTTTCTAATATGGTAACTGATCTGTAAGAAAGATGCTTGTGGAAACAAATGACTTGCTGTTTTATATGACTGTGTTTTGTTTTTTTCATAGCCTTGGTGGTGGGACCTTCCTTGGTCTTTGCAGTTTACTGACTGGCTGTGAGAGTTTTGAAGAGGCTCTGGAAATGGCATCATCTGGTGATAGCACAAAAGCAGATAAATTAGTAAAAGATATATATGGAGGGGATTATGAACGGTTTGCACTTCCTGGCTGGGCCGTAGCATCAAGGTAACAAAATACAATTTGTTCTCATTACCATGTACATAATTATTTTATTTATTTTTTTACTGTATTTATGTAGTTTTACTCAAACTAATCCTAAAATATTTTTGTGTGTGAAAACCCAAGCACAGACATGTAACATATTGCAGCTTACCAGTCCTTGGATGTGCTGGCTTCATTTGTTTACAGTTTTTTTTCCTTTTATTTTCATCTGGCGATCCTTCTAGTAACCCAATTCCTGTCTTAGTGTGCACACTCACTGTACTGTATCTATGAAGGAATAGTGTCCCCTCTTCTCCATTACATGGGGGAAGATGTTCTATAAAGAGAGAGCTGGGAACAGTGCTAACTTACAACAGTCCGCATAGGCAGAGGGATCAACAATTTTTTTTTTGTACTTATTGAGCAGATATAACCAGATACTTTCAATGGTATATTAAACAGAGCAATTTAGAGAGATTCTTTGTTTAGCATATACCTTAAGTACATTTTAGAAATTTGTCTAGCAAGCAGGCTTGGATAAAGAAATTCCGACAAAGAGCTGCACATCTGACTGTCTATTAAAAAAAAAAAAAAAAATATTTATTAAAAGTTGATACAATCCAAGTACACAATGAAATCATCCCACACCGATCCTATAGCCTCTCACGCGTTCCACCACCAGATAGGCTTAAAGGAGAACCTAGGGGTTTAGGGCTTTTCCCCATCATTTCTCCTTAGGGTAACGGGAGGACACAAACTAGCATCCTCCTGTCACCCTAAGCTCAGTATACCGCGAGCTGCAGCTCGCGGTATACTGAGACGCCGCAGCTGAAGCGGATCCTGACAATTATGTCTGGGTCCGCCCAGAGTGACAGCTGGCTCTGCCTAGCTAGTGGCAGAGCCAGCTGTACCCTCCCCCGTCCGTTTCCGCCAGTCAGCACTAGTGGGGAGGGGGGAATCCAGCCACTCTCTGCCGTGACAGGATCGAGAGGTGAGCGAACGCCGGTATGTGTTCGATCACTTCCCGATCTACTGAGCCGACCTGTGACAGTCTCATTGTCGCAGGTCGGCTAGAACTATGAGGATGAGTGAAAAGCACTCGCCTCATAGTTCTTCTTTTAATCATAGAGATCTTTATATGGTGGAACGTGTGAGAGGCTATAGGATCGGTGTGGGGTGATTTTACTGTGTACTTGGATGGTAAGAACTTTAAAAAAAAAACCAGAACAGATTTCTTAATATGAACTGTTGGATATGCGGCTCTACTTGGGATTTTGTTAGGCCAGCATGTATGTTTGGAGCCTACACCTGATTGATGTGACTGGTTGGGTCGGAGTTGTCCAACGGTGGGGATTGAGCTGTGTATACTTTGAAATTCAATGAAGGCTTGGATTAAGAATACTGTTCTGAAAGAGTCTTAACCTACAAATAACTCGTATTATGACTAGAGATACCAAAAATTCTATGTAAAGTCTTAAAAATAGGGATTTTCTCCCTGCAAATAGGGAACCACAGAAAACTGGTATGGCCCGCTCCACTCAGAGAGAGAGAGAGAGAATTTCTTTTATGGCTCATGAATGTCAATGATTAGTTTTGTCAGAGGGTTGTCACAGTTTATTCGGTTTATTGGTGTTGGAGAAGAGGGATTTTGTGGGACTGCTCCCTGAAAATAGGGCACAGTGAAGGTGCGTGTACATCTACCCAGATGCAGGGAATAGCTTTTGTTTTTGCAGCAGGAGACACTTCTCATCGAATATTGTGGCATACAGAAATGGTGAAATTAGGACTGCGGCTATTGTGCATAGATCAAAAAGGTTTAGAGAGTAACAGTTTTATTTTAGCAAGTCATGTGACCTGCCTCTTTTCCAATCACGGAGTTCTCTTTGCATTGTTAAGCATAGAGAAATCTGTAAGGCACTGATTGCTCTACAGTGCTTTGTGCATTTTGTAGTGGAATGTAAAATGCAGACCATTGTGTGGGACAGCTTTTCGGTATCCACTGTACAGAAGTATCCACTCTCTGCTAAATGGGCCCCTTAACCCCTTCATGAATGAGCTTGTTTTTAGTTTCTGTTCGTAAATGACTGACACACTTTTGACATTTTTGCTGTGTGATTCTTCCACGTCAGTAATATACTTTCTTACAAAGTGCACCCACACATATTATATATAATATTATATTATATATATTAAAATGCAGCAAATACGTACACGTGTACGTGACGAGTCATTTGGTCCCCTTGTGGCTGGACGTACAGTGTACATCTCCCGTCACGAAGGGGTTAAGCTGGCCTTGCACTGCTCAAATCTAGTCTGATTTTCGTCAATTGGCCAACATTTGAGTAATTTGTGGCCCTGCTGACACCACATGGCTCAACAGGCCTTGATTAAATAATAGAAGGAGGTGGGTGGAAAAAAATTTGCCGAACAGTGACTGCGTTCAATCAAATGCAGTCATTGTTCGGTATTAAAATTGAGATCAACCGTGCGCCAGTGATGTGTTCTCTGTTGCTGTGGGTGCCGGGTGTCGAAATAAAACAGCTGGCAGGGTAGATGTTGAGTGTGGATGTTGTTATCAAGTGATTCTTCATTTATTCTGTGAAATATACCATTGAATAAGTGCAAAAAATACCTCTTGATCCTGCCAAAAATATTGTAAGCTAATAATTTCTGCTGACCGCACCTGTATAATGTCTTTATCGGTGGCCTGTTTGACAGCCTACAGCGCAGGAGTGTTGTCACCTTGTAAGAGGAAAAGCCTAAACAAGCGATTTTATGGCAGGATCATCAGGTATTATATTAATGAAAGCTGCAGACTTCAATAGATTGAAAAATTACAAATTACATTAACAGACTGTCAAGTCGCCCATATAAATGAGCCCTTTGATCCCTGATGTCTCATTTGCCCTCCACATTTCAGCTGGGAATCTGACAGCTCTGAATCTGGAATTGTTGAGAGCACAGCACTTCTGGGTTCATTGATAACAGAGCACATTTACAGTCCAGTAAAAGTGATTGTGCAGCTGTAGTGCCACCTAGGTCACTTTTACTTGATAGCTGGGAGCCAGCTTATAAAAACGGCAGTGATTGGGGAGTAAAGCTTTTGCAAAAAAAATTGCTAGGCTTCCTGGCTTACTCTTACACTGCTCCCTTCAGCCCGCCTCCTCCTCCAGTGATGGAATGTCCCTCGGCATCCTCAAGTCCAAAACACTGTATAGAACATGATTACTTACAGGACTGTAGACCGCTGGAGTGGAGGGGGATTGAGACTGAAGAGACTGGTCTAAGAGCAAGCCAGGACTGTGGTTTGGGTGAGTATAACTTTATTTTTAGTGCCCTAGACCTAATGAGCACTTAACCCTTGCAGTGCAGGGGTAGCCCCACCTCAAGGGGTAAGATTTGATTTGCCTGGAATTCTGCTTTAGAAGGGGGCTGTTGGAAGTTGTTTACTCTAATTAACCCTGTCTCTACTGTGCTGACAGATACCATTATCAGTTGTAAACTAGCAAAGGGTTAAAGACTTGGCTTCATCCCATTGACATATAAGATTTGATTTGCCTGGAGTTCTGCTTTAACATTACAAATGAAAGCTAGGTATGAGAACAAAACGCTTAAAAATTGTAATGGCAAACTTTAATATTCTTTGAAGTTCTGTTCTATGAATGGGAACATGTAATGGATATAAAGTGGGTGTTATCCCATTGTGGTTGCAAACATGTAAATCCACTTTAAGGATGGTTTTCCCTGCTCATCTTGCATTTGATTTTTTTATATCATTCCTTGGGATACTGTGGGTTTCATTTTTTGAAATGCGATTTTTCTCTTTCAATCATGAAGTCATATATTCCTTTTTTTGCATTATTCTTTTCTTTTCTTTTTTTTTTGTAGTTTTGGCAACATGATCCACAAAGATAAACAGGAATCTGTTAGTAAAGAAGATCTGGCTCGTGCTACATTGGTAACGATAACAAACAATATCGGATCAATAGCGAGGATGTGTGCTGTCAATGAGGTAAATATTAATTAAAGGTGATCGCAACTTGATAAGGTTGTGGTTTTTTTTTTGTTTCTAAATCCGGGTCATGCTAAAATAGTATCATTTAGTTTTAAGGGCCGGTTCACACACGGTAGTCGTCCTGAATACACGGCTGCCGGCGTGTGTTCAGAAGGAAAAGTGCTGATGCACGCATTGGCTCATTGCACTGTTTTACTTTTGTTGTTGTTATTGAAATATCACAAGTTCTATCAGCCACTGCTGCGTTGCACCACACTGCGCTGAAAAATGTACAGCCGATAGATGGAGAGATATCATATTTTTCAAAACAAGGCAAATTACCTTGTCTCTGTGTTGAGACTACTCTTCCAGCAAGCCCCAGAGCACCTTGTGTAAAGAAGCCCTAAGGGTAACTAATCATTTTGGGGCTATTTTAGTTTAAAAGTATATGTGTTCTTAAACTGCCTATGGACAATTTTGGGTATAGTAGTTTTTTGCAATTTCACAAGCGTGCACAATTTTAACCACTTGCTGCCTGGAGCAATTTCTTACATTTGCGCTCGCATAATAAAATCAGAATTTTTGGCTAGAAAACCGCTGCAAACCCCCAAACAATTATATATATTTCTGAAAGCAGTGGCCCTGTAGAATAGAAAGATGCTAGTTGCAATTTTTATGTCGCACGGTATTTGCACAAATGTTTATCAAACAAGTATTTTTAGGATAAAATACACTAAAATTAAATTTAGTGCACAGAAACAGAATATAATAGCCAATGTTTTGAAAAAATTCTAAAAGATGGGCTTACGCTGGGTAAATAGATACCAAACATGTCGAGCCTTAAAATTGCGTGCGTCCGTGAAATCGCAAAAAACTACAATAACCAAAATATCCCATAGGCGACGCTTTAAACGATTTTACGGCTCATCAGTTTAGCGCTAACAGTGAATGATGGGCCTAGAATTCTTGCTCTCACTCCGACGCTCGGGACGATATATAACATGTGTGGCGTAATTTGTTTTTGCATGTAGGCGCATCCGACGCACTTTTGCGTTGTATGTGCGTGCACGCAGGGGAGGGGGGACTTTAAAACCTAGGCTAAAATAGCTTGCATTTGTTTAGCTTTAGATACACTGTAATACCTATCAGCATGCTCATGTAGGCGCTGGTGATGCCATTTAGCCTTCCTGGGGAAGCTGGGGTTTCCATGTCACATGGGACTGTACTTTTAATTTTATGTGGAGTTGTGGGCTAATAGTGTTTTAGAATGAGTTTTACTGCCAACTCTGCTTTTAAGAATGTATTTATTAGACACAGATGAGAAAGTATAACCAAACCGTTTACCAGTTTACCATGCTTTACATTAGATGCATAAATAAGTTTTTATATCTGCTTTCAATATAGGTTTCCTAAAGATATTTTGCCACAGGCTCCATTCACACAAGTGGTTTTCCGAGTGTATTCAGCCATACAAATATGCGCTAAACATTTAATTAAAAAAAATAGATTGCCATGTGCATTGTTCAGACTATTGCGGCAGCTGTGCGTCCCGCAAAATAGTCCAAGCTATTTTATGGATGGATTCTGCATCGTCAAGCTATAGTAATATCCGCAAAAGTGTGGAATCTGCGCGTATAGTAACGCTTGTGTGAATGGAGCCTCATGCTTTTGTTGCCCCTCACTCACATCCTGAAACACCTGTAGAAAAGCCCGAAATAGAACCTCACCATCTAAGCATATTTTTTGACACATTGCTTAATCGGAAGAAATACCCACCCTAAAGATCTGATGCCACCAGACACCCTTGCCTGGTGCTGACCTGACAAATGTAGTTATCTGGAGGCAAAAACCTTACATGATTTACTGAAACTCTGGTGACATTGTTGCTGTAGAAGGGGATCTGACTTCATCATTCTTGCTATTTCTTCTATTCCTTTGCAGACATGTAAATCTAATGATGTTGATGTATGTATTCCTTTTAGCATGATTTTCTCATGTCTTTCAGCTTCTTTATAGTGCTGCCTTGTTGACTATAAATCAAGCAGCATTGTACAGGGCTATGAAGGCTGTGAGATCTAACCCATCCATAACTTTATTTTATGACTATTTTGTTTATTTTTGTTTCCCCTTTTTCTTTTCTTTTGTCAAGTATAATTTTAAGCATTTGCCCTATTTGGGGAAAATATGAACATTAGGATTATTAGAATACATTTAATGACTATAATACAAATTACTAGATTTCTGTGCAGCTTTGGACAGACTTCTGAAAGGATTACAAGTTAGTAATTTTGTACAACAATTAGATGAGTCGCACAGTTTATATAGTATCCCACTTGGCAGGTGGAAACTATTGGATCATCTCAAACTGATGGATCATCAGAACTACTACTCTTTCCAGCCAGTAGAGTCCTGTTATTTTTCCATCTGACTACAGAAACCTGTACTGGCCTTTAAAATCCCTTTACAGTACCATCTTTGTAAAGGTGGCCATACACTCTACAACCATCGCAAGACCTTAGTCTTGCGATGGTTGTACAGGGATTAAAAAAACGTACGATCTGCCTATCTTGGACAGGCAGATCGCACTCTCGATCATCGCAAGCCCGCCCCCCTGAGGGGCGGGCTTCCGATGACCGCAATGCTGAAAGGGCAGTGTGCGCGTGCGCACACCGGCCCGCTCGGCATTTGTCTTCCGAGCACCGTTCTAACCAGCCGAGAATCGTACGATTCCCGGCTGGTTTTCGAACATGCTGGTTCGACGGAAGACGTGCGACCGTACAGTAGAAACGGTCGCACGTCTCCGTTCACACTGCTCGATTCTCGTACGATCGCGGGATTTCTTGCGATTCTCGTATGATAATCGTGCAGTGTATGGGCACCTTTTAAGCACTATACCTCTGGAAATAGCTCACCTACTTCTAGGAGCTGGACCAAAATGTGAGTTCTCCTATAATGAGCTCTTCTGTTCTCCACAACTGTTTGATTCTATACAAGTGAGGTTAATTATCAGTCTTATTTAACATTATATGGTCAGACACAAGGAAGAAAAAAAAGTAGTACAGACTTAGTATGTCGGACATTTTACCTGTTTAGGATTAGTTGTATAATTTGGTGGTATTTGATAAGCTAAAGCAGTCCTTTCTAAATGTGTTTTGACACAATTTTGCATTGACTACTATGGAGAAATAAGAGCATCGCTACAGCATCAGTTTACAAAGATTCAGTTAAAATACTGTATTCTGGTTTCTTCATGTTCAGAAGCAGAACAGAAACACGTGTACCCTGAACGTTTCATGCCACTGGTGTGACGTGCTGATTCTTATCTACTTTGGTAATTGTGTGTGCAGGTGTTACTGTCCTGTTTTTTGGAAATGTTATCAGTTTTGTCATTCAACAAGATGGTGTAAACCAGGAGCTGCGAGGCCTATTTAATGCGTTTAATTGATACTAACTAATAACCTTTTTCTAGTATTGCTGTTGGTCTGATGTTTCCCCTTTAAAAATGTTCCTCTAACTGACGGCTCCTGTCACCATTTTAACAGACTACAAATGTTTTCATTATATTCCTTATTGGAGGGCACCTTGTTTTGTGCACCTTTTTACCTCTACATTGCAGCAGCGAAATATCCTCAAGTGCTCTCTACACTCTCCTGCTGCTTTTTACACTTAGGGGTCTATTCACAAACAGGTGAAGAGTTTGGAAAAGGCAGGAGAAGTGAACAATCTAGGCTAAAATAGCCGATTCTGAAAAAATCTCTAATTCAGCTCACTTTCTAGTTCAGCTATTTTGTCCTAGATTGTTCACTTCTCCACAACTCTTCACCCTTTTGGAATAGACCCCTTAATCTCTTCAGAGACGCATCAGAACGCAAAACCTCATCCTTGGGACTCCTGGCAGTTGCACTCCTCTAACTTCTGACCTGGACAGTTATGTTTCCAATAAAGAAAGTAGTGCCAAGTCGATATTATGGCCTAGATCTAGCACATTTTGGGGGGTATCGTACTCTGTCAAATTATTCTTTCTTGGGGTCTAATATTTTATCCTGCTTCTCAGTCTCTGGCTCCTGAACCAAGTTTTTAAGAGAACTCAAGTTTTGAGAGAGCACAGTCTGTCGGAAGCTGTCCTATAACTGTTCCGGGCCCCAAAGTTTTTTGATTTGCTCTGGCTCTGTTTTCTTCAGGCAGGCATGGATTACTACCACAAGGGTCAAATATGCAATCGCTCAGTGTATGGGCACCTTAAGAAATCTCCAGAGATCCAGATCGCAGCTATAATCCAGAAAACCCAGAGGAAACTGAAAGGCCAGCTTCTTCCTTGCAAAACTAATTATCTGCTGGATCTTCCCAGCCCCTCTGGCTGAGAGTCCTCTGTCTGTCTGTCTGTGTCTGTCTCAAACATTTTACTAGAATATTGAAAACATGATGAATGGATCTTTGAAATGTTTAGACTAAAGTTGGTTTGTTTGGGGAAAAGGGTAGCTATGCTTGCCTATCCCGAACAGATAGAATGGACAAACTGTCCTTCACATATTTATGCACACTATTTTTGTTATCTATTACACCTTCTTTTTTTTTTTTTTATAACTTTTTACATTTTAAAAATTGAGAATATGTCAATATGACATGGCAAAGCTATCTAAAAACTGTTGAGAAATTGCAAAATCTGACAGATTTGTGAACAAAAGCATATATTTATAAATAGGAGGAAATGGTGAATTAAAAAAAAAAAAAGCAGCGAATTAAGTTGATCTACATGTAAATTGTCTGGATACCTTGAGGGCCACAAAACTGGCACAAATATGTTTTACACACTTTTTAGGGCCTGATATATAATTATTGTGCTCTGTTGCGTATTTGTACATGGTTTTTTTTTTCTCTACCAGTTGTCTATAAAAAAAATAATGGTATACAATTTACTTGTAAGAAAAAAAAGTAGGGCTGGTAATGATTAAAAATTTCCTGTTCGATTAATCGAAATTTTTTTTAATCGATTAATTTCGATTAATTATAACGCACATACACATCCAACTACATTGGCCTATACATATACAGCACAGCAATAAAGTAATAAAATGAACTAGGATAACATAATAATGCATAGCTAGATTACTATTGGCTATTTCACTTTCCAATAGCCTATAGCAAACTAGCTATTGCACCCGCCCCCTGCTGCTTTCAATCACCAGAAGGACTTGATAGAAAAACTCAGGTCCCCCTCTGCTGATTGACAGCAGAAGTGGGCCGGTGCATTAGCTAGTTTTCTATTGGCTATTGCACTTTGCTATGCAATCGTATGCCTTTTTTTTCTTTTCTGACTGACGGTCAGGCCGCGGCTCCCGATGTCAGAAAAGAAAAAAAAACGATCCCAGGGAAAGGTTTAATCTGCTCGATTGAGCAGATTAAACCTTTCCGGTAAAAAGTTTGTGTCTCCCGGGTGTACTCACCGGCCCAAGCAGCTCCATCAGGTAACGAAGGGGAGGGGGAGGAGTCCAGTGATGTCACGGACATCGACATCACCGGACTCCTCCCCCCTTCCCTTCGTTAGCTGACAGAGCCACTTGTGGAAGGGGGGAGGAGTCCGGTGACGTCGATGTCCGTGACGTCACCGGATCTCCGACGGAAGACCTGGAAGCCGGCGGAGAGGTGAGTACGGAGCCAAAGAACTTTGATCGATCAAAATAATTTTGATCGATCAAATAAATTAACGATTAATCGAGGGATTAATCGTTAATTTCCGCAGCCCTAAAAAAAAGTAAAGGATACTGTGTTAACCCCACAAATAGAATCATCCTGGCTTTTGTTTTCACCTCTGACTTTTCAAAGTTGAAGCACCCAGATAGTGGCAGTATGCGGTAGTGTAATATCTGAGCATCTTCTTTAGAGAGCATATTTACACTGCAAGACCATATATGTAGATCTTCATCAACTTCATAACTCAACTTGCTGCACTTTTACCCTGAAATGATCAGGGGAAATATTTTACAAAACTAACAATACTCCTTAAGTGTAGCTACCATTACTATTTCCCTTTTCCTGAGTTCTCACAAAGTACCCACTATCTTGGAAGCACAAAATCATCAGTTTGTCTGTGACCAGGAGCCATAACCCTTGTGACGCCAGTTGGAAGTGCCTAAGAGCATGAGTTCCCCAGAAAACAATAGTATTGGAGCTGACACTTGGGGTGTAGTATTTGTTCCAACTGACAGATTTGCTTTAAAGTGGAACTGAACTCAAAAAGTGAAGATTTGTTGTGTTGTATTTTTAGATGTAGTGCTTGTTCCCATGCAGTACCTTGATGTGGTACGCGTGCTCTTTTGGAGGTTTTTTGTGCCAATGATTAAGCAACTAAATGCTTCCAATAATTTATTGAGGAGAGCGAAGGGGAGCAAATAGGAGAAGCTCACTGTCAGGATTTACATACAATGTAAGGCACTTCTTCTTACTGCTATTCTCAAGAGATTTGGAATGAGATTTGGTAATGCCAGTACTGTGCTGCACACTGATCTCCTTGTAGGAGGCTCTGACATGCAGAAGCAAAAACCCTGCCTCAAGAAGGCTGTGTTCACACAAGAACAGTGTTGTAAAGTCAGTAATGGGGAACAATCCATTGCAGTGAAGCCACAGGCAATACTGTTGATGACTAGTTGTTTGCCCTCTGCCTGACTTTTGGTCACAGCTTCCAGAGTTCTGTTCCTCTTCAAATGTGTTCAAAAGTGCAAAGCCCTCCTAAATATTGTGCATGCAGTATGGGTACTCTAAATGTATGTGTGGTTTTTGTTTTCTTTGTTATAGTGTAGTATACTATATGATAACTGTTTAGTAAATATTTTATTATTTTTTTTCTTCTAGAAAATAAACAGAGTGATTTTTGTGGGCAATTTTCTCCGTGTTAACACACTGTCTATGAAGCTTCTTGCATATGCGTTGGACTATTGGTCAAATGGCCAACTCCAAGCCTTATTTCTGGAGCACGAGGTCTGTATTAAGAATTTGTGGACTATTTGTATACAGTAGTTATTTATGATATATACACACAAGTGTGTTCTTTGCTGCTATTCTCTAGCTTAACATCCAGAACCCAAAGATAGGTGGAGGAGACAAACTAGATCATAGATTCCGCCACAATTCGTTCACATGGTCTATGACAAAAGACTTAGATTATTTCAACAAATACATGATATGAATAATATATAGAGCAGATATTTCAATCAGGGGCTACTGGTCAATTACATCATGAAGCTGATTTACTAAAGTAGTTGAGAATCTTCACACAATGGACTGTGCAAATAATTAAAGTGACATTAAACCCTGAGATGTTTTAACATAAAACAATACTGTAATGTGCGCCTTACTGTAATCCATGGTTGTTTCCCTTCTCTTTGCTGCTCTTCCTTATAAATCCTCATCTCTTCTCATGCTGGGCAGAACTTCTGTTTTGCAGCAGACTGCCTTGTCTCAGGAATGGATACACGGTGTCTGTGTATAGGTTTGTAACCTGAGCCAGCACTACAGGAAGAGGCCCTGAGCTGAAAAGGGAAGTTCTTCCCAAGCACGAGAAGACATGAGGATTTAAAAGGAAGAGCAGCAAAGAGAAGGGAAACTACCATGGATTACAGTAAGGCACACATTACAGTATTGTTTTATGTTAAAAAATCTGAGGGTTTAATGTCACTTTAATTCAATAATCCAATCATGTGCAGATATAATAGTTAACAGTAATTTGCTTTTCTCATGACTGGACAAATGACACATCAACCTTAAGGTGCCCATACACCTTAAGACCATTGCAAGACTTTTGTCTTGCGATGCTCGTAAGCTTATTAAAAAGCTTGTACGATCTGCCCATCTTGGACAGGCAGATCGTGCTTGCTGTCATAGAAAGCCCGCCCCGCTGAGGGGCGGGCTTCTGATGACCGCAGTGAGGGGCGGGCTTCCGATCACTGCAAACGGGCAGTGAGAGCGTGCGCACACCGGCCCATTCGGCAGTTGTTGAACAAGCAGGCCTCTAACCCGCCGAGAATCAAACGATTCTCGGCGGATTTTCTAGCCTGCTTGTTCGACGGAAGACGTGCGCCCGTACAGTAGAAACGGTCGCACGCCTTCCATACACTGTACAATCGCGGGATTTCCCGCGATTCTCGTACGATAATCGTACAGTGTATGGGCACCTTTTTAGTGTGTAGGTTGACCCAAACGGTTTAACTGAAACGGCAGTGTAGAAGTAAAAACTGGACCAGGGAAAACCACACTAAAAAAATTAAATGGTGGTAGATTGTTTAGCAATGTGTTGTCAAAGATTTTCTGCAGAAGCCAAATATATTAAACTCTCAGGAAAGACCTCAAGCTTGATCGTTCCGAGAAGGGCTCCAAACTTTAATAAAGGGCTAGAAAGCCTGAGTTATGAAGACCGCCTTCATCAATTAAACGTATTCACCTTGGAAAAGAGGCGATTTAAGAGAAGACCTTATTGCAGTCTTTAAAACCCTCAATAGGGACCACAATATGCGAAATAAGTTGTTTATACCGAGAACTATATTCTTTTATTTAAAAAAAAAAAAAAATTTATTTTTTGAGTAATAAATCAGATATTATAGTACCGACAATTTACGCAGCGCTGTACATAGTTGCACATTCACATCAGACTCTGCCCTCAATGAGCTTATAATCTAAGGTCCCTATCTCACATGCATACATACAAGAGCCAATTTAGACAGGATCCAATTAACCTATCAGCATGTATTTGGAGTGTGGGAGAGAACCAGGGTACCTGGAGGAAACGCACGCAAGCACAAGGAGAACATGCAAACTCCTTGCAGATAGTGACCTGACCAGGATTCGAACCAGGGACCCCTAGTTCTGGAAGGCAGAAGTGCTCATTTAAGAACATGAGGACACAACAAGAGGTTAGAAGAAAGGGGGTTAAATCTTAGAGTACGGTAAGGGTTTTTTTTTTACTGAGAGCAGTAAAATTGTGGAATTGCCTTCCACATGCAGTGGTAACCGATATATAACACACACACACGACTTGATGGGCCCTTATCTTTGTTTAAACTCCCCTACTATTGTTACAATTAAAAGGTTGACATAGTGCCTGGATAGTTCCTGCACAATTGTCACTTGGCAGAGCCAGCAACATGGGGCTAGTGAAGTCTCTCTTAAGTCCCCATTCACACCTGCGTTTGGCCCATGGCCCTTAATTACCCCCATTGTGCCTTTTGGATGTGTGGCAATTGCAGGAAAATGGTAAATTTTGCAACATGTATTTTTTCCCATGCGTCCATGCACAGTCACGCACGGGAAGACACTGATTGCTCAGCCGCGTTTGGGGTGCCGTTAACTAGTAATGTCATTGCAAGCGCATGTTTGGTGCGTGCTTCCTTGATTGCACGCACTTTTGCTGTGGCTTGCGTACATTCATGGAATGCGATGGTGTGAACGGGGCCTTACGTAAATAACAACTGCCACTAATTAGCTGTCTGTACGTGGGGCATTCTTCCACCTGACCTCCAATGTAACAAGACATTTTCACATGGACCTACAATGTAACAGGACATTCTTCACATTGACTCCATATGTAACATGGCATTTTTCCACTGATTTTATAAATGTAAGGGGCTGTACACTGAGCACAGATGTAAGGAGACATTACCATTTTTACAATCTGCCTTTACTTTCAGGCCAATATTTGTTATTTACCGGGACACTGTGGGTGGCTAGCAGTCCCTTTTGAGAAAGCTGAGTCACTGACCCGGAACAAGTATAGAGATATGTAGTTCTGACACTCATTTGCAGCATGCGTCTTCTGGAACGATTACTAAATACAAACATACCACAGCCAGGCATCTAGCGTTTTCAGAGGACTGCACAAATCTGCTCTAGGTGTTAAATCATGCTGAGTACACTACATTATTTATTATTATATTTACATATTACTGATCATACTAATGTACTGTGAGTAGTGGACCTTGAGTAGTAGACATTATCATTTTTAATAGGGGTTCCTGGAGACCTGGAAGAAAAATGATCAAGGGTTTCGCCTTGGTAAAAACTTTGAGATACTCCACTAGAGAGTAAAAGTATATTATTGTGTCTTAATTACATACCAGTTCTAATTTTTATTTATTCCCTTTTCCTTCAGGGTTATTTTGGTGCGGTTGGTGCTCTATTAGGATTGCCCAATTTTTCTTAAAATTGCCATATATTATCAAGTCAAAGAAATTAGAAATTGTTTTTCTTTTTCAAGTTTTAAATCCTGAGTAATTTGTATACATCAAAGAAGAACTGTGGCTGAAAGTTGGTAGGCATCTCATTCTTGGCAGTGTTTTAATATGTTAATATCATGAGAGATCCACGAGAAAACCATCAGCCTGCCATCGAATGGAACATATTCAGCGCTTGCCTCTCGGTAGCCATTATTTTTGTATACAGAACCAGTATTATGGACAAGAAAATCACAGGAGTGAACATACTGTGCTGCAATGACTTTAAACGTTCACTACGTTATTGGCAGCTAATGTCTTAACATGGATATGCTCTGCATCTAGTATGTCTTGTATCAATGCCACTAATTTAAGCTTGACCGATCTTAACTGTGATAAAGCTTACTAGAGTTCATTTAGTCATTCCTGCTTTGTTATGAAGGGTCAGTTTACGGCTTTTCATTTTATTAAAGTAGCAGCTCGACCATTTGTTTTTGTAATTACATTGCTCCCAGCATTCATAAAGGGACATAACAGACATTTAAGTATATATTCTGCCTCTAGTAGGTTGGAAACTAGGCAAATCTAAAGGTACAACTCTTCGTAGTGGCTTTTCCCCCTACGTATGTCAAATAAGCCAGTTTAACTTAATGTCCTTAGGAGGGAGGTTGTCTCTCCAGGGCTGTAAGATCAAGGTGCTTAGGGTTTCTTTACTAGCCTACATGATCATCAACTGCTGCTGACAGTGTCATACCCGACTTCCATATGCTGGAGATTCATTCCAGGAGCAGGTGTATAGATCAGTAACATGCCCAAACCCTGATCAGGAGATATACTGCAGTAGACACTCATTTCCTCAGTGTCACACTGGACCCTTAAACCTAGGCATTCCCTGAAGGAGCCACTCTCTGATAATTCCCCTTTCTCGAAGGACCCATGTACAAAATCCAAAGACCTGTGTTTTAAGCTCTTCTTTTCAGCAACTGGTTCTACAGGCAAACTAGTTTTCGCCTGCACCTTGGTGTTTCAGGCTGCTGCAAAGTGGATGGGAATCATACAGCACGACCTTTTGTATCTAAAGGTTCAACCCAACATCTGGCTGATATGATGGATCAGTTGGTCCAAGCAGCCAAGCACATATGTAGTGCCTCTCTGGTTGGAGGTTGATTGCTCACATCAGCCCTGCGGCTTTGTCATTGACAAGAGTTCTAGATGTCAAGTGCTGTTCTTAGGACCAAACTGCCCACAGGTCTCTTGTTTAACTTACATTTTCAAGAGATTGTCATGGGGCATCCTTTCAAGGTATTTCCCAACCTATGGAAAACACAGATTATTGACATTTGGCTCTGACATGTCAAATATGTCTGGATTAGAGAGGTCATTAGGGTGGAAGATACATTTCCTTTCTTGACAGGCATTTCACTTCCAGTTTTCCTCACTCATCTTTATAGGCTTCAGTTCTTTTCAAGGCTTTATAGGGCCTAACTTAAGGAATTGTGTACATTTGAGATGCCCAGGGAGGCACTAGAAAAAGCTGTAACTAAGTAAGTTCCTCACTAATTACGTTTTTGGATAAGCGCTCTTACTGCCTCATCATTACTAGAAAGAGCTGTAACTTTTTGATTTGCCTAGTATCCCACTGTATAGAGACAGAGCATATACTCAGTTGTCTTCTGCATCCCCCAATGAGCCACTGGAGAATAGGATTTTACAGTGAGTGCAATTTGTTTTTTTCATGTATGCCATGTGATTGTTTTGCCTTAATGTACCATTTGACCAACTTGGCATTTCATGTCCGTCTGATATTCAGTAGGTGTGTGTGTTTAGAAATGCTGTAAGTGATTACATAGATGTGTCCAAATTTAGGCCAGCTTCATACCTATTCATTGCAGAAGCATGCAGTAATGCATGATCAGGAGTGCTTTGCGGTACCATGCATTTCATTTTGAGAAGCAACCTAACTTGCCTTACAAACGCAACCCAAAGCACGTATGTTGGGGAAAAAACGCATGGTATCATAAATTCATGAATATAAGCGGAATTAAGGCAGCCTATTTATTCAAAATGAATAGGCTTCCTTAGGGTAGTGCACTGCAGAAGTGTGAAGGTGTTCTAAAAGCTTTTCATTTATCTGTTCTGCTTCGACAATGATGAGTCTCTATTTATAACGTTAACTGTAGCAGTGGTGGATGGTACAGTCTTAATTTACTGTACTACATGAAACTGTACATTTTTGAAGCCTTTATATTGAAGAGTGGTTGTGTTTTAAAGTAAGGTAATATTTTTCTTCAACTATTGTATTATTCCAGAATGGTAATACATCACATCCTTCAGTTGCTACTGTAGAATGTATATGATTAATTGTGACCTTAAATCTTTCATCTCTGTTGCCTTATCATATGCTTGTATTCAAAAAGGTTTTTGATACACTAGTTCCCTGTGCCAATGCAACTCTTTATTTATTTTTTAAAGTTGCTCATCAAGGGAGGTTTATGGGCTGTTAGAATTCACAAACCCTAAAATGGTTTCTTTCATGAAAATCAAGACCTGCACCACCTCTCAGAATCAGCTGCTGTCAAAGTTGCAGATGGCATACCAAGGATGTGCTGGGAACTAGGTCTTTATACAGTTCTTTAACAATGGTGTTGGTGATATATATATATATATATATATAATAAATAAATGTGTGTGTGTTAGCTCTTGACCTGGCATGTGCCATGCAGCTGAAGTATTTGTAAAAATGTGCACTTTTCTAGAATTTTCCATAGAGGAAATGTGATGGCACAATTACTGCTAACATATTAACCATGAACACAAACATTCTGTGTATGTAAACTGGAGCCAGTACAACAATTACTGGCACCCACTTTTGTATTTCAGCTTTCCCTTAGAAATACCTTACAACTGAGTAATTGCCTTATTTGGCAAATACTAAGGCCTAAACTGCTGTTTACTTGAAAATGCTTTGTAATGTATCACACTAGGCTACCTAAATGAGAGGTGGGGATGTTTTTGAGGCATCCCCTTTTCAGACATGGGATAAGGAGTGGGTATTCCATATTTTACATTCCTATACAGCCCTGCCATTTATTTTAACCTAGAGGGTTATTTTTAGCAGATCTTAACATACGGAGAAGTGGTGGTCTTTGTTAACAATGACAGGAGTAGTCCAATATTAGAAAAATATCAGTGCAAAGCTAAGCAAAAGGACTATTAATGGCTTCACTAGTTTTACATATATGTATGTTTTGTTGTTGTTTTCAAGAAAACATTCCATTTGCATTGTGTGTCACCTTTTCCAGAAAACAGTAAATTGCTACTTTTCCAACATTCGTTTTTCTTTTCTCCTTGCTAAGTTTTATTTAAAAAATACTCTTTAATGGGGTAGTAACTGGGGACAGTTGAAAACAAATCCATAAATACTAGGCTGATGATACCCTATAAGGGAACAATATTTTGGCAATTGTTTTGAGTGTAGTAAAATAACTTGCATGGCTCCACATTTTTTGCATCAGAAAATATAAATGGCATTCCCTACTTTTAAATAATACACACAATAGTAAAAAAAAATGCATAAAGACCAGTAACATTCACTGAAAACCATATGTCAAAAGTTTTGTTTTGGTCTCTCTGCCCACCCATCACTAGTAGGGAGGACTGGAAAGCCCTCCCAAACCTAGGTTTGTAACAGGTTTTCCTACATGATTGTTAAGGTTCTTTTGGTTTCAGTGACGTTTGACTTGACCTATAGGATGTTTAGTACGACTGACCAGAAGTCAAAGCCTGCATATTTACAGAAAAATGGCTGCCCCCATGTACATATGTATTTGGAAACACAAATAAACACTTAAAATATTACCACTGAAGGACAAGAGTAACGTTAAGCTGAGCACGTTCAAGTAAAAATGTTGTATTTATTTAAAACAAACAAACAAAACAAAAAAAATAATGATATTACATTTTAACTTAATTCGATTTTAGATACATTTTATTACACGATTTTAGCAGTGTGGAGCAAGGAATATTCATTATACTTTTACTCTACGCATGTTAAATCGGTTACTAAAATATTGGCCCAATCTGCTAAGTACATTTTAGTATTGCATTCATTTTTTTTCCATGTGCCTGTTTCGGTTCTATGTAAACTATTGCTAAGAAATAAGGTTTGACGATTGCTGTCCTGCTAAACATGCCTGTTGCTTGGCTTTTATAAAAGGCCTAGGGCCAGTACTTTAAATTACTGACCTGGAATAGGTATGTGAATCATAAAGTCAAAAGTAAGTGAGGTTTTTGTTATCTGCATACTTATTCTGGGATAGTTACTCAAGGGAAGAGGGTTTGTGTGACAGTCAGGCAGCTAGCATTTGCAGAATAGGTCAGCAATGACCGTTCCATGTTTTTCTCTGGTAAGGCTTAATTTAAGAGCGCTCTACTCACATTTGAGGGATGGTGCACACTAAGCTTATGATCAATTATTTTTATTATACAGACTTTATATAGCACCAACAGTTTGCGCAGTACTTTACAAGGTACAGGGAAACCGTAGAGTTGCAATACAACTTCCATACTGGCCCTGCTCGCAAGACCTTACTCTAGACTTTTATTTAGATTGTAACAGGAGGCAAAATACAGTATGTGTCTGTAATAAAACTGGTTTATAGCAGATGTTACAGTTCATTATACTGACAATGTGCATAATGGGTTTTATTTATCCAGGTCATGGGATATCCATTGCTAGTAAATTTAAACCTGTTTTAAATTGCTGATTATTCTTAAATGTGTAGCCACATCTTAAGGTTGCTTTTGTAGGCTCTTGGGAATGGTAAAAATGTTCAAAGAATTATCAGTGGGGAATCCAGTGGGGATTGATTTACTAATAGTAAACACACTGACAATGCATCTGCTAAGTAACAGATTGTTTTTGAGAAGAAATACTGTTGCTGTTACTTACCGTTGGCACCAATCATAGGCAAACATCTGTTATACGTGACCCATTATGTATGTATGTATGAATTTCCATTTACCAACTGTATGTCAAAACATTTTAGAACCTAGCTTTTTTTTTTTTTTTTTTTTTTTTTTTTTTTTTTAAAACTTTTTTAAAAAAAAAGATTTTTTTTTTAAATAAAGCTGGATTACTACGCAAAGTACGGTAATTTAATTACAGTGAAAAGTACAAAATAACATTGCATACACCCTCATTTAATGACACACTTAAATCACAGGTGGGGGGAGTTCTTTTCAAAGTCACATAGTTGAATGGGTACTACCTGTGTGTAGTCAACTTAAAACATTCTAAATGTAAGGCTTATGTCACATTAGTATTCCAGCTACTGGTGACAGCATTGCCAAACCTAGGCGTATTGCATATGCGCGTCTGCCGCGATTCGCGTAAAAACGCGCGGCAAACGCACGTTTCCGAGGGCTACTTGGCTGTATCCCAATGGAAACGCACAACAAAAACGGCCCAAA